GAAGTCTTTAGCTTTTTCTTGTCTGGGAAGCTTCTTATCTGTCCTTTGATTCTAAATGATCACTTTGCTATGTAGATTTACCTTGGTTGTAGGTCCTTGCTTTTCATCACTTTGAATATTTCATGTCATTCCCTTTTGGACTGGAAAGTTTCTGTTGAGAAATCTGACAGCCCCATTGTAGGTAATTAACAGATTTTTTTCTTGCTGTTTTTAAGATTCTCTCTTTAACTTTTGGCATTTTAATTATGATGTGTCTTGGGGTGGGCCTCATTGGGTTCATCTTGTTTAGGATTCTTCGTGCTTTCTGGGCTTGTATGTTTATTTCCTTCTCCAGGTTAGGGAAGTTTTCCATTATAATTTCTTGAGATAGGTTTTCAATTCCTTGCTCGCTCTTTTCTTTTGGTACCCATATGATGCAAATATTGATACACTTGATGTCCCAGAGACCCCTTAAACTATCCTCATTTTTTTGGATTCTTTTTTCTTGTTGCTGTTCTGATTGGGTGTTTTCTGCTACATTATCTTCTAAATCACTGATTTGATTCTCTGCTTCATCTAATCTACTGCTGATTACCTCTAATGTATTCTTTATTTCAGTTATTTATTGTAGTCTTCATTTCTGATTGGTTCTTTTTTAGTTTTCTTTATCCATTTTTATGTTTCCTATTCATCTTGTTGAAGTTCTCACTGAGATCACTGAGCATTCTATGGCCAGTGTTTTGAACTCTGCATCTGGTAGATCACTGTCTCCATTTTGTTTAGTTCTTTTTCTGGAGCTTTAGTCTGTTCTGTCATTTGGGACATGTTTCTTTGTCTTCTCATTTTAACTGCCTCCCTATGTTTGTTTCTATGTATTAGGTAGACTTGCTATATCTCTGTGGTGTAATGGACTTATGTAGTAGGTGTCCTGTGGGGCCCAGTAGCACAGTCTCCCTGGTCACCTGAGCCGGGTGTTGCATGTGTTTCTTGTGTGGATTGTGTTTGCCCTCCTGTTGTAGTTGAGCCTTGGTTGCTGTTTACACAGGAGGAGGGATTGACCCTTGGACTGATTGGTTGTTGAGGACTGGCTGTCACTACAGTGGAGGAGCTGTTGTGCAAGGGCTGACCCTGTGAAGCAGGATTCACTTTAGCAGGGCTCTGGTGCCTGTCCAGTCTGCCCTTTGGGTGTGGTGTGTGAGGCAGCTGGGAGGTACTCTGGCACAATCTGAAGTTGGCCACTGGATGTGCTGGCCCTAGTGCCTCCTGAGAGGGACCCTGTGCAGGCCAAATTTAGCCACTGCCAATGCTCTGCTAAGGGTCACCTGGCACAAGCCATAAAGTGATCTGCAGATATCTTCCACTCTGGCTGGGCTTAGAGGTCCCTGGAGGAGGCTAATCTGTTAGCTGAGGCCTGCAATCTGCAGATGGCCACTACCTATGCTGGGCTTAGAGGTACCTCAAGAGGCCAAGCCTCAAACCGAACCCTGCTGCTGCTAGTGCCAGGCTTGGAGCTGCTCAGCAAGAGATACCAGGCATGCCAAGGCCAGATGCTCCTTGTTTGGGATTTGTGAACCTTTGAGAAATTTTAGGAAAGTCTGCAGCTTGAGCCAAGTCAGGCCGTTTGTATGGATAAGTCACTGGGAGTGGCTTAGATGGGCCTGTAAGTTGGGTAGGGCGGGGTCTCAGGGAATCACCAGGACATGGTAAATGGTGTTAGCCAGGTTGATTTAGACTCAGATATGGTGACCACCTGAATCTGTGCTTTGGGAGGCTCATCAAAGGAACAATAGATTCTGCCAGCACTTCTGTTTAGGAGAAAGCCCCGCCTCCAGCCCCCGCACTGAAGCCAGACAACTCAGTTCCTCCTCATGTGGTCCTGGTACCACCCCACCTCCCCAGCTGCAGCAGTGAAGCTCAGAGTGAATGAGTTTATCAGCAGTAAGTACATGCGTGGGCCCTTTAAGAGGAGCATTTGTGATTCTAGCTGTTCTCTGTCTCACTCAGCCACAATCTCCACTGGTTTTCACAGCCAGAAGTTATGGGGACCTCTCTCCCCAGCACTGGAACCCTGGGCTGGGGACCTGGTGAGGGGCTGGGACCCCTCAATTCTCCAGGGTGACCTCTGCAGCCATGATATCTCCTGATTTTTAACCACCATATGTGGGTGCAGGACTAGCCAGATCCAAGCCTGTGCTCCTACCAGTCTCGAGGTGGCTTCCTCTGTATATCCTTAGTTAAAGCACTTCTGTTCAGCAAGGCTTCCAGCGATTCTCAATGATCGTTGTTCTGTAGTTGTAATTTTGATGTGATCATGAGGGGAGGCAAGCACAGATTTTACCTACTCTCCCATCTTGACTGGAAAAATTCAGTGATTTCTAAAAAATCCCTTATTTCCAGACTTTCTCTATTTTCTGTTTTATGATTGTCTGTCTGTCATTCTTCTCTGTGTATTAATATATTTTTACATTTTATAAAAATATATGGTTAACCTGATATTTCTATTGACATTATATGTTGAATATTTTCCATGTCATTAAATATTCTTTTCTATTTAACATTTAGTGATTACTTTATATTCTAGTGCAATGTTGGTTTGTCATGTATTTGACTAGTAAGCTTTGGTAGACATTTCTTGTCTATCTGTAATATTTTGATCAACTTCACCCAATCTCAAGGGCCTCAGAAATGGTTCTTGTTGGATGGTGTTGCTGGATTCTTTTTAGTCTTGAAGATGGGAATGAAATGAGGAAGATCTGTTCAAAGCAAGACAGTGTTGCCTAATCTCAAGTCCAGACCAGCCTTACCACAATGGCACATTGACCAGAAAATTTCTTGCTGAAGTACCTGAGTCTAGCTTCAATGCATAAATGATTCTGCACCTGAGACTCCTGGGAATTGAGTGAGAAAATGGATTTTTCCAGAATCCTAATTTATCCAAATTGTGTGTGATAAGAGGTGATTTGGAACCTGGAATGGAAGAACATAATTATAACATTAACAAGTCCAGTGGGGAAACACTAAAGCACAACTAGTCTCAAAGTCTTTCTGTTCTCCCAGGTCTGGAGTTCCTGGACTCTGCTTTCTGGTAGAGGAACCCAGAAGACTGATTGTTCTTGTAGGTCTAAAACTATGGCCCGTGTAAGTTCATGTTATCTCCTTGTTGAAATATGTATGTGTGTTTTAGATCATGTAAGTATTTTCATCAATTTTTCTGAAGTTTCCTAAAAGAAAGGGCGTTCAGACAACCTGTTTCCCAGCTCTTATTCCAGTGAAATGTAATGCCAAATTACCTAGTGCTCTCTGTATGTGGCCTATTCTAAACTAACTGTTGTTTATGTAATTACTAACCAAATTAGTCAACATATTTTAAGTTCCCATTCTTCTATTAAGTACAATGATGAAGTAGTGAAGGAGTTAAGTTCTTTGCAGTAAGGATTTATGCTATGCAGGTCTTTGGTTTGGTGAAATGGAGACAATGATTCTATTTAACTATCCATGGTAACACTGAAATTTTCTGCAGAACTGAGCTTTCCAGATAGATAAGGTGAATCTTAATGAAAGGTGAAATTGCATGCTTTGTATGGACAAGTATATGATTAGGGCCTTTAAAAATGGTCATGGATTGGCAGGAAAGCCATAAGACATAAATACTAAGGCTATTTTGTTGTAAGTAAGACATGTTAAGTTTGTGTGATATTTATTTAATTGACCAGCCTTCTTCAGTATTCTTTAACTCAATATATTATCTATTATTGCATAGTCAGTTACCTCGAAACATAGTAACTTAAAGCAGTAAACATTTATCTCACAGATTCAGTAGATCAGAAATCTGGTTCCCCTGCTCTGGGTTTCTAACAAGCCTTTCAAGGTGTTGGTGAGGGTTTTAAGTCATCTTAAAGCACAACTTTGGGTGGATCTGCCATGCAGGCTCATTTAAGTGATTGTTGACAAGATCCATTTCTTCATGGCAGTTGGACTGATTACCTCACTTTGTCAGTAGCTGTTGGCTGGAGACTGCTGTTGGTTTGTTGTTTTATGGGCCTCTCCATAGGGCAGCTCACAGCATGGTAGTTGGCTTCATCAGAGTGAGCATGTGAGACAGCAAGAGAGGACAAGCAATGTGGAAATCATCGTCTTTTATAACAATGTTGGAAGTGACATTCTATCACTTGTATTATGTTCTCTTTATCAGAAACAATTCACTCTCGCTATATTCAGCCCACATTCAAGGGGGAGGGGATTACACGAGGACATAAATACCAGGAGATGGAGATCATTGGTAATCAATGTAGTTACCTGCCACACTCAAAATGAGGAAAGTGTTCAGTGAGAAATGGTATATGGTAACAAAAATGAATATTATTATACGTAGTAGGTAAAAATAGAATCTTAGAATTGGGAAGACCTTCCAATTGTGCACCCTAACTGTATAATGATTAAATCTGATGTATTTGTAAAATATGATGTTATGTGCCAAAACATGGATTTATTGAAACAAGTAAGGATGCTTATAGTAATATCCGAAGTACTAGATGCTTGAAGAAAGTCTTGATTTTATGCAACTCAGATTTCTAAAATTTGGAGAAAAACATCCCATGATTAAAATTTTCTCTTCCCTTAAAAGAAAAATATTCTTCAGTAACTTATATTTATTGAGAATTTATGAAGCCGATATTACTTGGACATTACTCCTGTATACACTTATTTGATTTAGTAGGGAAACATTATTATTTTGTCCATTCTCAAAAGGCTAAGATTTTTAGAAATATCCCAGAGTATGGAAGATGTTTTATCTGTCAGCAGCCTTCTTCAAAAATATGTATACATACTACTTGAGTCTCCTTCCATATAATAGATTGCCAGCTTGCATGCTTCCCAGATTGCTCTTTTTCCTGCATAGAAGTTCTTCATCTCCTCTGCTTCCACTTTTGAAATGTTTTTTTTTTTTTTTTAATTTTCCCAGTATTTCATGTATTTACTGTTTCAGAATTCTTTCTCTTCCCCACAGTATTGACGGCCGTCGGAAATGTCTCAACCCTCTGCAGAAGACTGTACAGGGATGTGATGATGGAGAACTGTGGTAACTTGGTCTCGCTAGGTATGTTTATCAGCCTCAAATAATTTAGATTAACTTACAATGTGGGTTTTTTCCCACTGTGATTTCTAGGGCTACCTTTAAAGAAACTAGGTAAATTTGTTTTTTCTCTTCCCAAAAAAGTGCTTTGAGCTTTGTTAGGTTAGGTTAGAAATTGCAATACCATTAAACACCTTCATCTTACCTATCCTTCAGTAACATTCACATCTCCCTCTGTTCCTTTATTTTTTTTCCCCCTCTCTTATATAATGACCAGGCAACTAGATTAGAAATCTGTGGCATATATTGTATAACTATTGTGAAAGGATTCAAGTTTCTCATTTATTTATGCTCTTCATAGCTATAATACTCCATTTTATTATCTGATCCAATTTTAGAGATATGAGCTTTACAGAGGGTCCAGAATTGCTCTCATTATCAAAAAAGCCTCTACAGTTATATAGTGGTGGATTGGATATTGCAATTCACTTAAGACTCTACCAAAAGCAATCTATTTTCTGAAACAAAGTTCATCTGATTTGTGGTTGAAAGTTGTCGTCCATGAAAATTACATTCAAAATGGAATGAATATCTTATAGCTATTTTTTCTTGTTTTCTCTAGTTAACATAAAAATGTAACGATAATGTTAATAGCTAACATGATTACTCTGTAGTAGTCATTCTAAGCACATTATGTGATTTAACCGATAAAAATAACTGAGAGGATTAATTGACTTAATTCCTCTTTTACAAGTGAGGTTACTGAGGTATAGTGGGTTTAAGTGAATTGCTCAAGGTCAGACTCAGCTGGAAGACGGCAGAGGCAGGAATTGATTCCAGAGTCTTCAGCCACATTATGTTTGCTCTCTAGATTTAGAGGACATAAGAGTTTAAATTTTAAACAAACAGCAAAACAAAAAATTTACCTTACCTAATTGATCTCTTGTTGTTTATTTCTCTCATTCTTCTCTAAAATATTCAATATCATTATGACCTTTTGATTATTGTAATTTTAATATTGACTAGTCACAACTTATTTCTTTATCCTGTGGCATTTTTTTCCTTTGTAAGCAGGCCATTCCATTTCTAAGCCAGATGTAATTACCTTATTGGAACAAGAGAAAGAACCCTGGATGGTTGTAAGGGAAGCAACAAGAAGGTGATATACAGGTAAGTAAGAGCAAGTCAGGGAGGAGAAGTCATCTGTGTAATTGATGGCTCAGGTGGTAAACACACTTGGTAAACACACCCTTGAAACATTGATTGGAAAGCTCCCTTCTGAGTGAAGAAAAGGCTTATAATGTGGAGAAGAAATATCTCAGGATGAGATACCCACTGAATTTCCTCTTAACCTCATTAACTTTACCACATTATTTTTCTCATATTTCCCTCTCAGTATAGAGTTACACATACTCCTTCTTCTGCAATGTAGCCATTTTATTTGTATTATGGACCCAGATTCTTTCTAGATCTTTTTTCAATGTGGTTTCATTGTCTAAGAATACATTCATTTATATATTTGGCAAGTATTTGGATACTCTTGAGTCTCACACTGTGCTTGCACAGTCAATCCAGTAATACTGAATATGGCAGATATGTTTCTATAGTAATGGAGATTATACATATTAAGGAAGAGGTAAATATGAAAACAAATAAATAGGTAAATATCAGATAGTGAAATATATTATGAAGGACAGTAAGTAGGAACAGAGCAAATTTAGGTAACGTATCGTGGTCAGGAACCTTTTTCTGAGGAGGTAACATTTGTGCAGAGACATCAAGCAAGGGCTCAGGATTTTTGAGTATATGAGCAAGACCATTCCAAGGAGCGTGAACTACACATGCAGAGCCCTCAAGGGAGAATGAGGTTTGAGTGAGTGACGGGTAGCATGTAGATTAGAGTTAGTGATTGGTGCTAATAGGACATGAAGCTAGTATGCCTGGAAGATCAGATCCAATAAGAATTTGTGGTTCATTATAAAATCTAATTGTTTTCTAAGAATAATCAGGATTCCTAATCTGATTTAGGTTTTTAAGAAAGATTTTCACCTTTGCATTAATTATAATACTTGTACAGAAGCCTAGATAAAATGACTATAGATTGATTTGTTTCTCATTTTAATATCCTTTAAAAATTCTTCTTAATTTCTCTTTATGTTAACATTTATCTGTGGGAGTTATTCTCATATTTCTAAGTTGGTATTCTTTATCTTTCATTTATTTGAAATTTTCTTGTGAATCTATTACCTAATTCTGAGGGTTTTTTTGTTTGTTTGTTTTTGTTTTTTAGGCGAGGCAACCCTTGGTTGACCTCACAGATTGCAAGGACCTTGTCAGCTTACAATCTCTTATTTTTTATTTATTTTTTACACCTACAGCACCTGGTCTTCCTAGGTGGTCTCACATCAAAGTACTAGCCAGGCCCGACCCTGCTTGGCTTCCAAGATCAGATGGAATCAGGCTTCTTCAGGGTGGCATGGCCATAGACAATTCTGAGTTTTTCTAATTCTTGTTTGTGATCGCTCATATCTCAAAGTATTTTCTTCCTTTTAGCATGTTTTTGAATAGTATGGTATAGTTTTTCTCTGTTTTCAAGGCATTTGTTTAAGATGTATTTATATTGTTTTTATAACTATCATTAACTTTAGTCATATAATTTCTTGTATGGAATTTCCTCCAGAAGACACATCTCAGCTCCAAAGTCAAATATAGACTCAAAGTGAAAGGGTGGAAAGTGATATTTCAAGCAAATGGCATTCAGAGAAAAGCAGGAGTAGTGGTACTAATATCAAATGAAATAGACTTCAAAATAAAAAAGATAAAGATACTGAGGGACACTTCATAATGATAAAGGGAATCAAGCACCAAGAAGACATACCACAATAGCGTAGCAGGTGACCTAAATACTCCACTGTCAGATATGGATAGATCATCCAAGCAGAAAACCAATAAGGAAATAACAGCCTTAAATGACACATTAGACCAACTAAACATAATTGACATTTACAGAGCCTTCCATCCCCAAACAGCTGCTTATACTTGGAACAGTCTCAAGGAGTGACCACATCCTGGGACACAGAAATAGCCTCAACAAATATTAAAGTGTTAAAATCATACCAACCATATTCTTTGATCATAATGCTTTGATGCTGAAGATCAACTGTAAACAGAAAGCAGGAAGAACCACAAATACATGGAGATTAAACAACATGCTACTGAAGAATGACTGGATGAGGGAAGAAATAAAAAGAGAGATCAAGAGATACATAAAAATGAATGACATTGATAGTACAACATATCAAAAATTTGGAACATGGCAAAAGTGATAGTAAGAAGGTCACATCATCACAGGCCTATCTCAGAAAGAATAAGCCCAAATAAACAATCTAATGCTTCATTTTAAAAAAACTAGAAAAGGAAGAACAAATGAGGCCTAAAGTCAGCAGAAGGAAAGAAATCATCAAAATTAGAGCAGAAATAAATGAAATTGAAAACAATAGAAAAAATAAATGCAACAAAGAGCTGGTTCTTTGACAAGGTTAATAAAATTGACAAACCCCTGGCTAGACTCACTAAAGAAGAAAGAAAAAGGACACAAATAACAAAATCAGGGATGAAAGGGGGAAATTAACAACTGATATCACAGAAACACAAAGGATCATCCAAGAATACTATGAAAAAGTATATAACACCAAATTTAATAACCCTGAAGAAATGGACCAATACTTAGAAAAATACAACCTTCCTAGACTAAATCAAGAAGAACTGGAAAATCTAAATAGACCAATCAGCATTATGGGAACGATCATCAAAAATCTACCAAAAAGTAAAAGTCCAGAGGCAGATGGCTTCAGCAATGAATGCTACCAAACATTCAAAGATTTAATACCTTTCTCCTCAAACTCTTCAAAAAATCGAAGAGGAGGCAATACTTCCTAACTCATTTTCTGAGGCCAATATTACCCTGATACCAAAACCTGGTAAAGATAACACAAAAAAGAAAACTATAAACCAATATCTCTCATGAACACAGATACAAAAATCCTAAATAAGATACTCGCGAACCGAATACAGCAACATATTGAAAGGAGTATGCATCATGATCAAGTGGGCTTCATCCCAGAGGCACAGAAATGGCTCAACATTTGTATATCGATTAATGTGATACACCACATAAACAAAAAATAAGAATCATATGATCATATCAATAAATGCAAAGAAAAAAAAGCCTTCAACAAGATACAGCACCCATTTTTGATCAAAACACTTAACAAAATCGGTATAGTAGGAAAGTATCTTAACATAACAAAGGCCATCTGTGACAAACCCTCAGCCAACATTATACTTAATGGTGAAAAACTAAAAACCTTCCCTCTAAGATCAGGAACAAGGCAAGACTGTCCATTACTGCCACTGTTGTTCAGTATAGCATTGGAGGTCCTAGCGAGTAAAATCAGGCAAGAGAAAGATATAAAAGGCATCCAAATAGGAAATGAATAAGTCAAACCATCACTATTTACAGATGACATGATTCTCCATATAGAAAATCCTAAAGACTCCACAAGAACACTACTAGAAACAATAAGCAAATACAGTAAAGTCTCTGGATACAAAATCAACATTCAAAAATCCATAGTGTACCTATACTCTAACAACAGAGTGTCAGAGAAAAAAAAATTCCTTTTGCAACTGCAACAAAAAGAATAAAATACTTAGAAATAAATTTAACAAAACGTGAAGAACCTATATAATGAAAAATGCAAGTCTCTATTAAAAGAAATCGAAGAAGATACAAAGAAATGGAAAGATGTTCCGTGTTCTTGGAAGAATCAACATAGTTAAAATGACCATATTACCTAAAGCATTATACAGATTTAATGCAATCCCCATCAAAATCCCATCGGTATTTTTTAAAAAAATAGAACAAAAAATCATCAGATTCTTATGGAAGCACAAAAGACCTTGAATTGCCAAAGCCATCCTGAGAGAAAAGAACGAGGCTGGAGGCATCACTCTGCCTGACTTCAAATTATACTACAAAGCGACAATAATCAAAATAGCATGGTATTGGCAGCAAACAGACACACAAACCAGTGGAACAGAATCGAGAGTCCCGAAATAACCCATGTTTATATGGGCAAATAATTGTTTTAAAAAGAGCCGAAAGCATACAGTGGAGGAAGGAAAGTCTCTTCAATAAATGGTGCTGGGAAAACCGGAAAGCCACCTGCAAAAGAATGAAACTATACTGTTGTCTGTCACCACATACCAAAAGTAACTCAAAATAGTTTAAGGACCTGAATATAAGACCTGAAATAATAAAATGCATAGAAGAAAACATAGGAATGAAACTCAAGGACTTAAAGAGGATTTTATGAATTTGACCTCAAAGGCAAGGGAAATAAGTAAAAGCAAAAATAAATGAATGAGACTACATCAAACTAAAAAGCTTCTGCTCAGCAAAAGATACTGTCAAGGTAAAGAGATAACCATCAGAATGAGGAAATATATTTGCAAGCAATGCCTGCAATGAAAGCCTAATATCCAAAATATACAAAGAACATACACAACTCGATAACAACAAAAAAATAAACAGTCCAGTCAAAAAATAGGCAGAGGACCTGAACACACACTTCTCTCAGAAGACATACAAAAGGCCAACAAATGGCCATGTGAAAAGATGCTCAACATCGCTAGCTATTAGGAAAATGCAAATCAGAACCACAATGAGATACCATCTCACACCTGTTAAAATAGCTGTCATCAACAATACAAGTAATAACAAATGCTGGAGAGGATGCAGAAATAAGGAAGCCTCATGCACTGCTTGTAGGACTGCAAATTGATACAGCAACTATGGAAAACAGTATGGAGGTTTCTCAAAAAACTAAGAATTGATCTACCATATGATCTAGGAATCCCTCTACTGGGTATTTACCCCCAAAGACTTAAAAAATCATATCCATAAAAATATTTGCACACCAATGTTCATTATAGCATTGTTCATAGTGGCCAGGACATGGAAGCAACCAAAGTGTCCTGTGATAGATGATTGGCTAAAGAAGCTGTGGTACATATATACAATGGATTAATATTCAGCCATAAGAAGAGATGAAATACTGCCATTAGTGACAACATGGATGGACCTCGAGATAATCATGCTAAGTAAAATAAGCCAGACAGAAAAAGTTGAAAATCACATATCACTTATATGTGGAATACAAACCTAAAAACAACAAAGGAACAGGAAAGACAAACAGAGGCTCATGGACGTGGACAATAGACTAGTGGTTACCATAGCGTAGAGGGAGGAAAGAGAAAGAGGAAGGTAGATGGGGTAAAAGGGACCAAATATGTGATGACAGAAAGAAATCTTACTAGGGAAATGGACACACAATGCAATCTATATATGCCTTAGTGTTAAATTGTAAACCTGAAAGTTAATAGATTTCATTAACTAATGTCACCAAAAAAAAAAAAATTAAAAATTAAAAAATTTGTAATTGGAATTATACATTACATAGTCTCTTCTGTTCAACATTCCTTGGGGGAATTCATATGTATTACGGACTATAGTTTTAGATGGTTCATTCTCATTGCTATGTATTATTCTATTGTGTAAAATATACCAGAATTTACCTTGTTGATGGACATTCAGGAAATTTCTGACTTTGGGCTCTTACGTAGAGTGCTGCTATAAAGATTCCACTACCTCGCTTCTGATGACTATGTGTTCTCACAGACTTCACTGCATATCTGCCTTTCTCAAAACTCTGCCCTCTTTCTTACCTCACAAGAAAGGAACCTTAAGGGAAAAAAAAGCCATCATGATTTTAAAAGCCACGTATCAGGTGAATTAGTGGTTTTACTTTTGCAAATATGCTATACTTATGTTTTTCAAAAATAAGTGCTATGGACTGAATGTGTCACCGCCCACCAAATTCGTAATATTGAAGCCCTGACCCCCAGTGTGATGGCATTTGGTGTTTGTTCTCTGCGGATATGGGGGGAAGGGTCATCTGCTTTGGAGGCTACAGCTCAGCAACCATGGCTGGTAATAATCAACTCTTGTTTCTCTGCCATCCCCACTTCTCTGCTTTCTGCCCTGATCCCTGGGCACTGTCACTGCATGGAGCTCGCAGCTCTCTCAGGCAGGGTTGTTCAGGAAAGCCGCACCTTCTCCCTTCCCTCCTCCTCCTACAGGGAGCTCTGGCTGCAAGAGGCAGCTTCATTGTTTCTTCCAGTCCACTGACCAAATCCTAGAATTCTGACCTGTGGTAACTCTTATGCATAGATCCCACCCTCACATGTGCTGGTGTGCAGTTTGGGTGTTTTGGTTGATGTTCAACTTGTCGTTTCAAGGGGAGAGATCTGGGGACATCTCTCTACTATGCTTCTGAGGTCACTCCTTAGTTACATATTCTAATAGCACAGATTAGGAAACTAATTTATGCTCTTAGAAATTAGGATAGTCATTTCCTTCAAATTAGTGCCTGGAAGAAATCATGACGTGGGACTTTGAGGGTGCTTATATTGATGTTACTCTTAGTCTGGGTGCTGATTATAAAAGATTGTTTCACATACAAAAATTCATTGCTCTGTTCCCTTATATATGCCTGCTGCGGGACACACTCTGCCATGAGCCTGTAGCACTTCCATACATTACTGCTGAGTGTCATGGGCTGAATTTTGCTCCTCCTGCGAGGACAGTTTCATATTGGCCCTAAGTCCCATACCTCAGAATATGAACTGTATTTAGAGACAGTGCCTTTAAAGTGGTGATTAAGTTAAAATAAGGCCCTTATGGTGGGCCCTAATCCAATCTGACAGGTGTCCTAATAAGAAAAGATTTAGACACACAGAGAGAGATACCAGGTATGTGCACTCAAAGACACAACCATGTGAACATACAGATGAAGGCAGCCATCTGCAAGCCAGGGAGACAGGCCTCAGAAAAAAAAAAATACATATATGCCATATATATATATGCCAACACCTTGATCTTGGACTTCTCCGGAACTTGAGAAAATAAATTTGTTTAAGCCACCTTGTCTATGTTATTTTGTTATGGCAGTGCTAGCAAACGAATACACTGGGTGAACCAAAACACAAGTCTCTGACTACTCTTTACCCAGGATATTTCTCAAGGTTGTGTTTGCAGCAAGTAAATTTGAGGAATGAGGGAATGTCTCACCTTAGACAAAGAGAAGGCTTGCTCACAGGCTCTAATAAAGTAGCAAGCTCCCCAGACTCAACGTTCCCTTCCTGTAACACAGCCCATTGCCAGCCTCCGTCCAGGCTCACCCGCTTCATGCCTGTGGGACTTGGGAGGTGTGGAGAACTGACACAAACATGAAGCTCAAGCTGCTTGATGTACCATGAGTAAAGTCTTTTGTTTTTGACCAGAAATCTTTTGCTTCTGCCAGCTTCCATAAAATAATAATAAGCTGGCTCACTAGCTTGCACATAGGGTAAAATCTCAGCCCCTTCAGAAACCTTGATGGTTCGTAAAGTTGTTTGTTTGTTTGCTTGTTTGTTTAAGTTCATGAAAGAATAGTGTTGACTTTCATCTCCGAAACTGACTTATTGAAAAAGGTGACTGGAAAAGCCCCTGTGCAATCCAACCATGTTGCCCAAGTGTGAACATCAGCCACTTGATCCTTCAGCACTAGGGATTCCAGGCTCTTTCTGGAGTGGACACAGAAATTAGCCACCTTCTTTCCCTCATGCATGAGCCATATTTACACTCCCTCAAAGTTTTCACAGAGAAGGTTCTTGGCTTCCCTTGCAACAGGAGATGATTCTGGGGATCCAAGTCAGGACCAGGAAGTTCTTAAACTTCCCTGAGAAGAGCTTAATCTGAACAAGAGGCTGGATTTACTTCCTTGGTATTCCAGTTAGAATGGTTTTTACTTCCTTGGTATTCCAGGTACCAAGGTTTTTGCCCTCCATAGATGTTAATATCACTCACTCCCTCTTGGGTCTGAAGGAAAGATATCCACTCATATTCTCTACTAGCTTTGTTATCCACTCATTTCCTGACACCTTGAGGCCATGCTTCCCCTGGTTCCAGTCAATACCTCACATACTTTGTAAACTTCAATTTCTCTCCAATCCCATTTTGTACTGTGTGAGACCAAGGCCTCCTTTCCTCTATTTTTTCTGATTTCCCCTCTCCTGTGCATTTAGGAACAAATCTAATAGATGCCTTCACGAAACTGTCAGACCAGTAAAAAAGACAATCACAATACAGCGAGGGGAGAGGGGCTGCAATAGCACATGCAAGAGAAGGTTGTACAAGAACCTGGTCTTTATGGAATATGTAGGTTGCTTAGAGGCAATGGAGCAGACTAGATAAGCTAGTAGAATGTTTCTCTACAAAACATGTTAGTAATGGACACAATATAGGAGCCATCCTTCTAACTGCATAACTGAGTTCACAAGAATCCTAATGGAAAGCCTAGGGAACAGAAAGAAAATAAGTGGGAGTATATGCTCTGGTTAACCTGAGAGGTCTTCAGATATTAGAAATTGTGGTAGACACACCTTAAGTTGACCCCTAATGAGTCACCCTCTTATAATCCTCTCCCCTTGAGTACAGCAGAACTTGTGACTTGTTTCTAGCCAATAAAATATGACAAAGGTGATGAGACAGTCTCATTTAAAGACTCCATCTTAGCAGACTGGTGTGATAAAATGTGCTTGCTGGTCTTAGAAATGTAAGTTGTCATGTTGAAAGAGAACCTGGAAGAAGTCCACATGAGAAAGAGCCGTGGGGCAGCCCCTACGAGCTGAGAGCAGTCCCTAGGTGACAGACAACTAGCAAGAAAATAGGGCTTTCAGTCCTAAACGCACAAGGAGCCGAATCCCGTAATCTCAGTCCTATAGAACTTGAAGTCCACAAGAGCTTGAAAACAGACCCTGAACTCCAAAAAGGGGCAGCCCTGCTGGACCTTGACTGAAGCCTTGTGAGGTCCTGAGTGGAGAATCCCAAGCCATGTATAGCCTCCTGACCCATGGAAACTGTGACACAATAAATGTATGTTTTATAAGCTGCTCATTTGTGGTAATTTTTATTTGCAGCAATGAACAACTGAAACAGGAATAAAATACTACATTTTAATATCTGTAACATGATGGATTGTGAGCCTTAGGAATTAGTGATTCAGAGAATTGGAATGAAGAGCTCATATTTACAAATTTTGGGTCTTTCTTCATGAGGTTTTATGTGGGTTTATTTTAGCTGCAAGTTATAGAAATACCAAACTAGAATAAATAAACTTTCCCAACTGGTAGAAATTGTGGTAGGGTTTGGGGGGATCATTTCAGTTTAACCTATTTTTCTGAGATGTTCCACAGAGAAAAACCTCACTTAACACGAGCTCAGTCCAAAATTAGAAAACATTCAAGAAAACAGTCCACTGTGAATAAATTTCAATGAGCACAATAAAGAGCAGAATTCACACTGCTTCTCACACTCAGAACATGTAACTACTTCTTAGAGATTCTACTGAAACTATTGTTAAAACATTAACTGATCATCATAGATATTTTAAAACACAGGGAAAGAAAATACTATTAAATACACCAGAGGTTTCAAAAAGGATAGAACAAGCAGGTAACTCGTTTGACACAGCTGAAAAGAACAATTAGATTAGAGGAAAGTAAAGAGAAAGTAACTTAGGTGATAGAGATAGAAACTATGAGAGGTCAAGAGGCAGCTATTGAATGAGAAGTACCAACATGTAATTATTTCTAGGAGAAATCAACAGAGTGAATGAGACAGAGGAAATAAAATGTTAACATTTGAGAATTTTCCAGTATTGAAAAAAGACAAATCTTCAGATGACACAATAAAAAAAAAGTACTACCAAACATTTAAAGAACTAACGCCAATCCTCCTCAAACTCTTCCAAAAAAAAATAGGAGAGGAAACACTTCCAAACTCATTTTATGAAGCCAGCATTGCCCTGATACCAAAACCAGACAAGGACACTTGAAAGAAAAGAAAATTACAGGCCAATATCCCTAATAATTATAGTGCAAAAATCCTTGGCAAAATAGTAACAAACTAATGCAATAATACATTAAAAGGATCATACTTCCATGATTACGTGTGATTTATTCCAAGTATGGTTAAACATCTGCAAATCAATTTGATACACCACATTAACAAAATGAATAAAAATCATATGATCATCTCTAGAGATGCAGAAAAAAAGCCTTTGACAAAATTCAACATCTATTTATGATAAGAATTCAATTAAATAGGTATAACGGGAAAGCACCTCAACATAATAAAAGCCATATATGACAAGCCCAAAGATAACATAGTCAATAGTCAAGATTGAAAGTTTTCCCTCACTAACATGAGGAACAAGACAAGAATGCCAATTCCTGCCATTTTTATTTAATATAGCACTGGAGACATTAGCTAGAACAATTAGGCAAGAAAAAGAAATAAAAGGCACTGAAAAGATGAAGTAAAACTGTCTCTCTTTGCAGATGATAGTATATATAGAAAACCCTAAAGACTCCACCAAAATACTGTTAGAACTAATAAACAAATTCAGTAAAGTTGCAGGATACAAAATCAATATACAAAAATCTCTTGGGCACCCAGTCCTCTCCCCTGAGATCTGACTCCTTCTCCAGGGTTTCTTTCCAATACTCCCAAGCTTCTGATCTCCTGGGCCTCTAAGTTTTTCCCTAGAGTTTGTTACCTCCGTAAGCACTCTGATTTCTTCTGCCCAAGATCTATTGGGCTTCCAAGCATCTTTTTCTTGCTCTAGCTCCTCCCTTACTCTTGCAGACTCTCCCTTGAATTCTGTCCCCTCTCTTGAGGTACTCCCAAACTTTCTTAAGGTCTCAGGCCCCTCCTCTAGCCTTCGGTTCCTCTTCTATGTTCCCAGTACACTAACAATGAGCTCTATTTTGCAAATGATAAAACCGAGGCTTAGAGAAGTGAAATTGCTGGCTGAAGGTTACATGTTAAGTGGAAAGGCATGGATTTAGATCCTGGTTTCAATCTAGAACCCACATTTTCATCCACAGACTTTCTCCCATTAAAATTGCAACCAATTTCAGAGAAAACTATGTTCCAGAAATGTATGCATTTCACCAAGTTAGGCATTACTAATGGCATTTTTATTGAGGGGGAAAACAACCCCTAGGATTAAAGACTTATAAGTGTCAGAGCGAGGGCTGGAATGAGAGTTCTGAATCCACTATTTCACTCTATATCCCTGTTATGTCAATGACAATTCTGAGGCATAGAGATGTTTAGGAACTTTTAAGTCTAGATCAAAGTTTACAAAGGGGTAAAATGATGGCTCTTCTCTGCTTCCTCTCATCTTAATGCTAAATAAATAAGTGCCCAACTGTGCCAGATGCTACCTTTCCAAGATCCTTTGAGGAATGGAAATAGTAGCCAAAAAATTTGAGTGCCAGGGCAGACTTTTTAGTGAAATGGCGATCAAATACCCTCCAAATGAAAAAATAGAAGTCCCTCTTAGGACAGAGATTATCTGCTTTCTCTGGCTACTTTATAGGGGACTCTAGGCATGGGAAAGGAAAAAGAAATGTCAGGATTTTTGTAATAAATGAGAAATGTTATTTTATTTAGTACATAGTAGCAGGTTTTGAGCTGAATAAAGACAAGTCTGTTTTTATCCCCCAACCTTAAATTGAGGAACAGGTAAGGCAGCTTAAAATCTGTGGCCCAGGCTCATTTTCCAATAAGATCCCAAAGTACTGATATTAGGCCAAATCAGAGAGTAGGAGTAGGGATGTTGGGCAGCCTCTCATTAAGGTAAGGATTGACTTGTGGCAGGCTTTTCCAGGCAAGTTCTAGGAACCCATACTGAGCGATGCCCACAGGTTGGATAGTATGCACCTTGTTCTTCCCAGGAAGGGGTACAACATTCTGGAACCTGGGACCTGCAGGAGCATGGGAACTACCACAAAACAGGCCATAGAATAACCGCTCACCAAGCACCAGCTCCTTGGCTTTCAGGGCCTTTTTGTAGATGGTCTCTTGGGGTTGGAGTTCCTTTCTCTGCAGCAACTCTAGTAGAAGCCTCTGGATTCCAGGGGACTTAAGTTGGTACAGGTCCATGAGCTGGTAGAACTGTTCCATCCAAGCAGCACTGTCTTCTGCGTATCGCTTCTGCAACATCTGCAAAACATGGTACAGTGCCACGAACGTCTCCCATAGAGGCACATCTTCCTTCTTTTTAGAGCTGGGCTGAGCCTTCTCCAACTGGGGCAATTTGGGGGGCCTGCCTTTACCTTTAAAAGCCCTGAGATCCTTCTGAAACATCAGCGCTAGGGTTTGTTTGTCCACAGAGGCATGAGCACCCATGAAAGTGTCTCTAGGGGCAGGATAAAAGTGTCGCATCTCCATCTGCCTGAGAGCATTAGATAACTGTTGTGCCCGTGCAGTCCTGTAAGGTTCTCCTAGAAGATCCCAACTTACAGCCTTTGTGTCTGGAATCCTCTTGGTTGTTGATGGTAATACTGGTACAGGGATGGGCAGTGGTTTCTTCTTGGCCTTGTGAAATTTGGGGAACCTGCCCCTCAAGGCCTGGAAGTCCTTCTGGAATATCAAGGCCAGGGATTTTTTATCCACAGAGGAATACACAGCTGTAGGAACACCCCTTCTGATTGGATAAAGGTGCTTTATCTCCTTGACAGCAGTGGATATCTGTTGTGCCTGCTTCTCCCTGAAGGACTCAGCTAAGAGATGCCACTTTAGAGTTTGTGGGGTTTGAGTCCTCTTGGTAGCTGATGGTAACACCGGTTCAGGGATAGGGATTGGCTCTAGCCAGCTCTCTTTTTCTTTTCTAATTGGAGGGATCACTTTTAAGTGTAGTGGACTTGAAACATCCTTAAAGGACTGTGATAGATCTGGGTGACTTACCTCTAGGTCTTGCCTGAAGTGTTTAGCAATGGCTTTAAGATTGGACAGATGCATCCATTTCAAGTATCCCTTTGAAGTGAAGTCTCTGAGGAACTGGTTTAGTCTATGGAAGCTGTCCCTGGAAAGTTGCTCTCCTGCTTCCACCCTTACTAAGGCACTATTGATCCAGTCCTCATCTGGGAAGCTTGCTTCTGAGTAGCATGGTCTGTTAGCTGGCAGAGAAGTAAGGGATGGGGCTGGGGTGTGTCCCTCAGTTTTCTCCACTGAGGACTTTCGATACTTCGAGAACCACTTCCACCTGTCATCTTTGGGCCTACATTCAGGTTCCTGTGGTTCCATGATAATTTCTGGTACGTGGGACCCTGGCCTGTGGAGGCCTTCTGGAATCTCGGTCTCTAAGCCTGTTTCCATGATATGTAAAAACATGCCCCTGGCTTTCTCCAAGAGTACATCCTCTTGTCTTCCCTGTGAACTTATCACGGAATGTGCTCCAAGAAGTTGGCTTTTCTGTCCTTCTAAGTCCAAACGATCCTCTAATACTTTCAGAGGCATGCCCTCTTTTTTTTCTAGGGCTACTGGGAGTGGCATTTTGAAGGGGCTCTTCAGAACTGTTGGCCACATAGGCTTATCCATAAATGTGAGATCTCTTTTTCCATCAAGTAATCTTTCTTTCTTAAAAAGCACTTCCCCTCTAGCTGTACCCTCCCTTTCCTCAGCAAGAAACTCATCTTCTGTCACTTGCTTCGATAGGCTCACACCTTCCTTTGAGAGCTCTATTTTTAATACTCTTCCCTCTTCTGAGACCATTGCCTCCCTAACTATGCTCTCCTTTTCTTTCTGTTTACTAAAGCTCTCCTCATCCTTCTCCCTTTCCTCCCTTTCCTCCCTTTCCTCCATCTCCTCCTCCTCCTCGCTCAGGCTCTCCTCCTCCTCGTCCTCTTCCTCCTCACTCAGGCTCTCCCTTTCCTCCTCACTCAGGCTCTCCTCCTCCTCCTCCTCCTTGCTCAGGCTCTCCTCTTCTTCCTCCTCCTTGCTCAGGCTCTCTTCCTCCTTGCTCAGGCTCTCCATCTCCTCCTCCTCCTTGCTCAGGCTCTCCTCCTCCTCCTCCTTGCTCAGGCTCTCCTCTTCTTCCTCCTCCTTGCTCAGGCTCTCTTCCTCCTTGCTCAGGCTCTCCATCTCCTCCTCCTCCTTGCTCAGGCTCTCCTCCTCCTCCTCCTTGCTCAGGCTCTCCTCTTCTTCCTCCTCCTTGCTCAGGCTCTCTTCCTCCTTGCTCAGGCTCTCCATCTCCTCCTCCTCCTTGCTCAGGCTCTTCTCTGCTCTCCTTTTCTTTCTGTTTACTAAAGCTCTCCTCATCCTTCTCCCTTTCCTCCTCCTCCTCCTCGCTCAGGCTCTCCTCCTCCTCCTCCCCACTCAGGCTCTCCTCCTCCTCCTTGCTCAGGCTCTCCTCCTCCTCCTCCCCACTCAGGTTCTCCTCCTCCTCACTCAGGACCTCCTCCTCCTCCTCCTTACTCAGATTCTCCTTCACCTCCTCCTTGCTCAGGCTCTCCTCCTCCTCCTCCTTGCTCAGGCTCTCCTCTTCTTCCTCCTCCTTGCTCAGGCTCTCTTCCTCCTTGCTCAGGCTCTCCATCTCCTCCTCCTCCTTGCTCAGGCTCTCCTCTTCTTCCTCCTCCTTGCTCAGGCTCTCTTCCTCCTCCTTGCTCAGGCTCTCCTCCTCCTCCTCCTTGCTCAGGCTCTCCTCTTCTTCCTCCTCCTTGCTCAGGCTCTCTTCCTCCTTGCTCAGGCTCTCCTCCTCTTCCTCCTCCTTGCTCAGGCTCTCCTCTTTTCCCTTCTTAGTTGGACCTTCCTCTATTTCCTTCTCAGTCAAGCTTTCAGATAAGCCTTCAAACAGTATATTTCTGATCATCTCTAATAACCACTTCACCTGGGCCTTTTCCGGTTTATTCTCAATTCTCTTCAGAAGTTTCTTTAGCTGCTTTTTTCCTAACAGATTTTGCTTCTGGATCTCCTTTAACATACTCTCTACCTGGATTTTATCTAATAGTATTGTTTCTTGGAACTTCTCTAATAGTCTTCGGTCCTCCTCCAAGCTCTCATCATCAGTCAGTGGTCTCTCCTTTTTGGCCAGTCTACCATCTTCTAGTTTTCTCTCTTTCCGACCCAGGTCCTTCTCTTTTTTGGTTATTTCCTCCTGTTCCTTAAAAATTTCCCACCTCTGGCCATCAATTTCACTCCTTCCCACAATGGATGATCTCTCTTCCTCAGGTATTTTTATTTCTTCCAATGGCACTGTACTAATTTCTCTAATTGTTTTAGCCAGGATCCCCAACAAGTGACCCTCTTTCTTCCTTATATCTTTTTCCCTGAAAGCCTCATTTTCTTCAGAACTAATCCCCTTTTCCTTATCTGGTTTCCTCATTGCCTGTATTCTCTCCTGTTCGGTTCTTTTCTTTTTTCTCTTAGCAACACCCATCTCCTTGGTCCTTCTGTCATATGCCAGTTGTCTCTCTTCCTGGGACAATTTATCTTCTTTCATTATTTCTTTCTCTTCTTGGGTTATTTTTTTCTTTCTCTTACTTATGCCAATCTCTTCTCTGGCTATTTCCTTTTCTTTCTTAGAAATATGTCTCTCTTCCTTGGCCAATTTACTGTCTTTCTTGGTCAGTCTTTTCTCCATTGCCTTTCCCTCTTTTTCCTGGGACTTTTTCCTCATTACGCCAGCTTGTTTCTCCTCTTCTAAGGACAATTTCTCTTTCTCCCAGGCCCATTGTTCTTTTTGCCGACTCTCTTTCTCCTCTTTCTGACTCTGTATTCTCTCCTTTTGGGCCTGTTTTTCCTCTTGTAAGGCTGGTTGCCCCTTTTCACTGGGCCATTGTCTTTTTTCCTCAGTGGCTTTCTTATCTTTCCCAACCCATTTTTCCTCTTTCTTAGCTTGTTTCTCTTTTATCATGGCCTGTTTCTCTTCTTTTTTAGACACTTTCTCAATTTCCTCTATCGTTTTCTCCTCTTCTGGGACCAATTTCATTTCTTCTCTGGCCTGTTGTTTTTTTCTCTCAGCCTCTTTCCCCATTTTTCGAGCCAATTTCTCCTCTTTATGGGCCCTTCTCTCCTTTTCCCAAGCTCTTCTTGCCTTTTCCTGAGTCCGTTTATCTTCTTGCGACAGTATCTCCATTTCCGCAAACCCTTCCTCTCCTAGGCCCAGTTTCTTTCTTTGCCAGGCTGAGTGTTTGTCCTTGGCCTTTTCCTCGTCTTTCTTAGCGTGCCTCTCTTTCTGGTCTTCTTTCTCCTGTTTCCCAACTTTCTTTTCTTGGACTTCTTTCTTTTTACGGGCTGCTTTTTCCTCCTTCACTAACCATTCCTTTTGTTTTCTCGTCAATTTAATTTCTCCTTCCACCAAGTTGCCCCTTTCTAATGCCCATTTTCTCTCTTCCCCAGTCAGCTCTTTTTCTTCTCTAGACAAATGTTCCTCTTCCTGGGCCAGTTTCCCCTCCTTCCAGGCCTCTACCGCAACATGTTTTTCTATACCCTGGACGTGTTTCTTTCTACGGGACTTTTTCTTCTTTTTAACTTGTTTCTCTGTGCCCAGGATTAGTTCCCCCTCATCCCAAGCCAGTTCCCTTTCTCCCTCACCCGGCCCCTCCTCTTCCTCACGCAGCTCCTCTTCCTCACCGGGCCCCGCCTCTTCCTCACCCGGCCCCTCCTCTTCCTCACCGGGCCCCGCCTCTTCTTCACCCGGCCCCTCCTCTTCCTCACTGGGCCCCGCCTCTTCCTCACCGGGCCCCGCCTCTTCCTCACCCGGCCCCTCCTCTTCCTCACCCAGCTCTTCTACCTCACTCGGCCACTCCTCTTCCTCACCGGGTCCCTCCTCTTCCTCACCCAGCTCCTCTACCTCACTCGGCCCCGCCTTTTCCTCACCCAGCTCCTCTTCGTCACTCAGCCACTCCTCTTCCTCACCGGGTCCCTCCTCTTCCTCACTCGGCCCCTCCTTTTCCTCACCCAGCGACTCTTCCTCACCCAGGCCGTTCTCTTCCTCACGGGGCTCCTCCTCTTCCTCACCAGGCCCCTTCTCTTCTTCACGCAGCTCCTCCTCCTCACCCGGCCCCTCCTCTTCCTCACCGGGCCCCTTCTCTTCTTTACGCAACTCCTCTTCCTCATCCGGCCCCTCCTCTTCCTCACCCAGCTCCTTTTCCTCACCCAGCCACTCTTTTTCCTCACCTGGTTCCTCCTCTTCCTGGACCCACATGCCTTCTTCCAGCATACTCTCCTCCCAGTCCCACTTCCCCCCTGCTGGGGTTGCTTTATCCTCTTTCAAAGTCACTCTTTTGCTTTTCCCTAGTAGTTTCCCCTGTTTTCCAGTCTGTTTCTTTTCTCCTAGGACTAACTTCTGCTCTCTCATGGTTAATTTCTTTTGTGAAGAAGCCGGTATTTCTTCTTCCCAAGTAATTTTCCCTTTTCGATGGGTCCGCGTCTTCTTATCCTTGGTCAGTGTCTCCTTTCCCTGTATGAATTTCCTCTCTGGCTTATTCAGTTTCCTTTCTCCCTCAGCTACTTTCCCTTCTTGTCTGGCCAATTTCCTTTCTTTCTTTTTAAATTTCCTTTTCTCTAACACAAGGTGACCTTCTAAGAAAGGAAATTTCTTTTTCTTGACTTGAGAAACTGCCTTGCCCTTCTTTAATACTTTACCCTTTTGTTCTCTCAATCCTACTATCCCTTCTTCCTTGACAATCTCCTTAACCACTTTTTCTATTATGCTGGATTGTTTTCCCATCACTTTGTGATACAATTCCGATGAGCCCTTTAAAAGGGGGCAGATATCCTGGAAAAGAGCCCAGCTGGGCGCTTGGGGAGCAAATATCATGTGAGTCAAGTCCACCAATTCTTGACCTAGATCCCTTAATATTCCTGGCTGGGAACTTGCTATCCTTGAGACGGCAAGAGCGCAAATGTCATCCCTCCAAGACTTGGTGTCTGCTTTACCTCTGCGTCCAGGGGTCCCAGCCAAACCACGGCCACTCTTTTCAAGTTTTTGTATCGTTTTTGTATCTTTTTCTTGCTCAGTAATCTTTGTGACTTCTTCCTTGGGTTCTTCTGTAGTTGTCTTTGAAATATCCTTCAAATCTTTCTTTTTCAATTTCATATCTGCTTCCTTGGGTTCTTCTGCAGTTGTCTTTGAAATAGCCTTCAAATCTTTCAATTTTATACCTGGTTTTTTATGGATTTTTTTCACTACCCTATTCCAAAGCTTTTCTATGTATTCTCGTCTTTCTGGCTTAAGGATCGTCTTTCCATAATCTTTCATGCTATATCGATCTGTGGCTCTCATATCTGTGGCCTCTATTGCCTCTGTGTCCTCCACTGCCTCTGTGGCCTCCACTGCCTCTGTGACCTCCATATCTTCTGTGTCTTCCATGGCTTCTGAGGCTTCCAACATGATCTCCTTTGATTCAGCATCCACTTTGGATTTGGCTAGGCCTAAAGTTCTTTTAACTGCAGAGATATCGGGAGGAAAAAAATATTTAAGAAAACCACAGAGGTCCTGAGTGAAATCCCTTGTAATATCTAATTCAATGAATTGCCATAAGAGGTACAGAGGGAAAGGGGACTGAGGCTTTATGATACAGAAATGCTTGCTGTTTTATCCCAGCTTCCAAATCCTAAAGAAATAAGACCTTGATATTTGTTGTGGGAGTAGATCTTTCTCGATAAAGCTACTTTCTGTGGAAGAGTCTCCTTACTTAACTCTGCTTCCACTGGTATCTTTTTATATACCTTGGTCTTATTGACCCTGCCTTTTGGTGCCCTGAAAAGGAACCCAAATATGCCCTATATATTACCACATACATACTAAGGTTTCTGCTCTTTGCTGCAACATGTGTCATTCTTTTCTCCAGTTTGGTGATCTTTTCAGGTTCTGATGAAGGTATGAATGTTTGTTCAACAGGGGCTTCAAGTTTATCAGCCTTTGATACATCAAAAGTCAATTGTTGGCTTCTATGTGACAACATCAGGTTTTCATTTAGCTGCCACTCCACCTGACTAAGCAAGTATCGGATATCTTTAGCTTGAATCCCCAGAAGCCGGTCCAGAGAGACTTCTCCAATAAATTTCTGCCTACAGAAGTCAAGGGAAAAGGTTAATAATGAGCCAGTAATAAAATGAAGCAGGAAGAGGAAAAGGAAAAAGAGGAAGGAGGAGGAGAAAGAAGAAGAGGAGGAGGAGGGAGGGAGGAGGAGGAAAAGAAGAAGGACAAGAAGAAAGAAGGAGGAGGGAGGAAGGAGAGGGGAGAGGGAGGGAGAGGGAAGGGAAGTAGGAAGAGAAACTACAATGGGAGAGGCAGGGATAAATTAGCTATTTAGGACAGAGTAATCTGAAGTAAAGGATAGATTAAGAAGAAAGAATTAAGGATAACAAGTAATAGAGGAGTTAGTGTGACACAAGATGCTTTTTCAGTTGGGAGATTTGTGGACCTGAGTCTCAAGGAATCTTAAGGAAGTGAGAAAATGATGGAAGGGGGGGCTAGTCAGTGGTCAGGAAAAAAAAGGTTTAAAATTGGGGAGAAAAGCAAATAGAAACAAAGAACATAGGTGGAGGAAAAGAATAGAAAAAGTTGTGGAAAAGGTAAATAAGCAATCGAATGCTGGAGGTTAGGAGTGAGAAGGAATAAAATGGGGGAAGGCCACCAACCCAACTTACTGCATTTCCTGGAAAGTCTCTTGTTTCTTCAGCAGGCTTACCAGCATGCTCTTCGTTTGGATGCCTGTGACTTTTATCATAAGGCATAAGGTCTTAGCCCGCACATTTTCAGCCCTGTCCATCAATCCCATAGCCAGTGGAATAAGAAAGAGACGGCTCATGAGGCCTAGCCTCTCTAGCCCCTCCCACGCTAGCTCACGGACCTGTGAACTGGAATGGGTTGTATCTTCCAGGAGACGACAGGTAGTCTCATAGTGCAGATTTGAAGGTACTTGATGAGTGGCAAAAATTTGTGCCAGGACACTAATATATGTCTTGTATTGCTCTACAGAACAGTAAATTGTGAGGTTGAGTATAGTCTCGATTAAATTATTTATAAGTCCTTCATCAAATTTTCGTCCTATCCAATTTAGTTTTGTCATGTTTACAAGAACATCAATGAAAGTTTGTTTCCACTTGGATTTGTCCTTCTGTTTACTCTTTGAGATTTTTTCTTTTGCCAGAGTAATAGGTGGCAGTGCCTGGCGTCTGAAGAGTTCAGTTTTATCTCTATAGGGTGGGTACAGATCACAGAGTAGGAAGATTGGGGTGCCCTCAGGCCAAAGGCGGGCACGGACCACTGAGTTGGGGATGTAGCCATCAGGAGCAAAGAGCCATTGCCGCCCTTGACCAAAGAAGCACCGTAATATATGGTAGGGGTTCAATCCATCCCAGCCGACCAGCCGTAATTGAGCAGGAACCGCTCGTCGGGGACGATTCTGCTTGGGGTCAAGAGTAATATCCTTATCCTCCAAAGAATGTAGTTTGGGTTTTTTTTGTATCACAAAGGAGATCTGTCTCTCTTCCTCTACAACATGGGGCACAGTATTGTCAAAGGCGATGGCCCGTTTGTTAACCAGGGCTTCCAGTCCTTGTAATTCCTGCAGCCCTTGTCCAAGGCAGACAAATTTGGGTACAAATACTGTTTCAAATGAAAAGAAGAAGCTAGGTAGGAAGGGTTTAGGGGCTTCTTGTATTTCATCTGCATTGTTCAGGTTAGCTAAGTGAATCAGCAGAGCTGGAGGGAGCAATTTTAAGCAGGATACCAGGTAAAGACTCTGATTAAAAGTCAAAAGCAAGTCACCCCGATTATTAGCAAAGCAGAGTGGGCCAAAATGCAATGCTGAGTCAAACCCAGTTATGAGTCTACCATGGAAGTCCCAGATCCGGACTGAGCCATCAATGCCTCCTGTGACAAAAAGTTTCAGGGAAAAGCAGACATCAAATGAAGTGATGGCACACTGGTGCAGGTATTTGATCTCTTTAAACGTAGAGTTTAGTTTTGTTTCTGAAGGTGTCAGACAATCTTGGTAGTGGCAGAGACACCAGCAGTGGTCCTCGGTGATGGCACCCACAGAACCCGGCAAGAGTATTACATATTTTAGGGGGCAATTACAGAGAATTTTACTGATAGGCTGCAAGATGACCTTGTTCTCCTGAAGCACAGCTTCTGACAGCTGTACGATATCATCCATGCCATAGGAACAGAGAAAGGAGTTTTCCTGGGGACCTTCCAGGGTAGACAGTGCTAGTACTGCCCCCAAGTGAACAGTCTTCTCTATTCGAGCACAGCTATAGTGGGAGAGGATTCTCACAATGCCACTCTCATGCCCACAGAACATCAATCCTACGAGGCCCTTACCCAAATGAGACTGCCCGTAGGCCAGGCATCTTACTCTATCCTCAAGGTTTACTGAAGTGCACATAAGATACTTGGCTGTGCAAGGCGAGCGTGTTGCATCGAACACCAGCACTTCTGAAGTGTTTGTTGCCACAAAGAGCTCCTCTCTGTCTGAGTCATAGGCCCAAGCCACAGCCTTATCCATGACAAGTAGAGGCCAAGTGATAACAAGAATCTCTCCTGTTACTGGAGACAAGAAGCGCAACAAACCATCCTTAGTGGCACATAGGATCCGGGTCCAATTACGGCCACAGCAGACACGCTGCACCTGCTGGGGAGCAGACCCACAAACACTGAAGAGGCTATAAAAGCAAGGCAGGTGGTGCAATGAGAAAGTGTAGGTGGTCTGACAGAAGAAAGTGCTGTTATCAATAAAGTGCAGTTGCTGCAGATTCACACCAATAACCAGCTGCCGCAGCAAGTTCCCAAAAGCAAGATTCCATTCCTTCAGTTCACCTTCACTGCCTGCCGTTAGTAAGGTGTGCATCTCCGGCCGGCTATGGATACATATCACTGATGAGAAATGGGCCTGGAAGCTGTGGAGGAAATTGCCCCGATCTAGCCCCCAAGCATGGACCTCTCCATCCCTGTTTCCAGCATAGAAATAGCCCTGAGAGACACAAGTGAAGGAGCAGGTGATGGAGGAACCACTGGTTATGGGAGCGAACTTCTTTACCTCTTCCAGCTGGCCCTGACCCTGGTGGGTGAAGACTCTCACCTTATTCTCACAAAAGGCCAGGAGGGAGCCCTGGGGACCATTCAGGGAAAAACCCTGTACAAGCTCATGACCAGGCATGGGCACTGTTTGTGCCATCTGGAGGCCCCTGCTGCTTGGTAGGATAAACCAGGTAATTACAGCCCCCAAGGTACCAGAAAGTAACATCTCAGTTTCTGAGTCGTAGCAGAGGCAGCTGATGGAGAAACGGCAGGGAACTGTACCCAGAGATGTGAATGCTTGATGGTGATCTCCAAAGAGCCACAGGCGCATGTCACCACAGTAAGCAATTAACATGTGGTGGGAACCTGCATGGACCATTGCTTGGATGGGTGGCACTTGATCCATCACGTGAAACTTCATCTTCTCTATCATTCCTTCCATTTCTCTATCTTTTTTCTGTATCCAAAGTACTGCCTAGAAGAAGATGAGTGATGAAAGCCTGAACATAAAGGAAGATTATTCCCAAAAGTGAAGTGTAGGAAAGGGTTGAATGTTTAGATCCTCGTTCCCTCTTGTGGGATTAAGGAAGACCAAACAACTTGACTTTGGGAGTTTCCTGGTAATAGGAGTTTATAAATTGAATAAAGACCTTGACTTTGGGAGTTTCCTGGTAATAGGAGTTTATAAATTGAATAAATTTATAAATTGAATAAAGCACCATGCTTAAGGCTCTTTCCTTGGCCTTTAGTCTACTTTATGAGGAAAATAAATTCTGAGGACCTGATGACTAGAGGTGAACAAGGATCACTGCATCCAGGTGAAATTGGGATATGGAGATGGGTATTAAAATGAGCTAACCCAGAATCATCCTCATCCTTCCGAGGTGAGGGCGGTTTAGATATGATGTAAAGTGAATTAAGAAGGAGGGGAGAAAAAAAGATGAGGTAGCTTTACCTGCATTTGTGTTGAATGTGGTTCCACCCAGTTTAAGGAGACAAAATAATTGACATTGATAGAGTAGAAACAAATGAAAGGCTTGTTCTGGGGATGATGCGGCTCCTGATATAAAGTCTCAGGCCAGTCACTGAGTACAACCAGATCATTCTTTGGTGTTCCATCAACCTGAGAGAGAAGAGTGGCCTGAACTAAGAGGCCTGAGTCTGCACTCATTTCATTCATTCATTTAATAAATATGTATTGAGGGACAGTAGACGTTTGTTGTTTTTTAGCTAACCAACATTTATTCACCATACTTCTGGAAAGCACTATTTGGAGAGGCATCCCTTGCTCACCCTCAGAGTACATCCTAATTCATCAAAGTACTTCCAGCCTTTGTCAACTAAGGCTCCATGAGAAAAGTAAGCCCTAATATCTGAAAGTTCCATTCTACATAATGAATTAGTTTCTGCCCTATGCATTCTGAATGCCACTAGTTATGTACTATCCTTAAGAGAACTGAGAAAATAGCACCCCCAAATCATTTTCTATGTTCCATGGCTTAGATGACAAATCACATTTGAGAAAGGCTGGAATGTTGTACACAGACATTGGGGATATAATGCTGAGCGAAAGACACACGGCCTTAGCTCTCAAAAGCTGAGTCCGGCAGGGGTGGGGCAGGAATATATATTAAACAAACAACGAACTAATGACTGTACAAAACAAGTAAGTGCATCAAAAGAAAGGAATACTCCTATATGAGTATGAGAAAAGAACCCAACTTTGGCAAATATTTCTATTAGCCACAGTTGAAACAACTATTCAAAGTTCCTGTCTACACCCAAAGGACCACTTCCGTCATAATTACACTCATGATATACCGCCTGTGGAAAACTCACACTTCACAGAATGTTCATCATGTATGACAGCTAGACCGTGTGGCTTTCCCCTCTTTCACTATTTTTATGTGCATCCAAGGGAAACGTGCTATTCACAACATAGAATTAGCTGTGCTTCAGCTCTAACATTCTGTATCCTACTTAGTGGGCTGTGTGTGTATCAAGGGAGATATATACCTTTAAACATGTTACACAGTAGAGCATGTACAATACACACTACCTTCCAGTAACATAGCATATATCTAGGATATAAGTACTTTTCATTCTGACTAGCCAAAACTGAGGCTTGTGAAGTTTGATTTTGAGGTCCCTCTTCTCAGCAGATTCTTGTGCTATACCTGCCTCTTGAACAATGCTCCATGAGTCTAACTTTAGATTATCTGCATTAGAACTTGTGCTATGACCATCTACGCTGCAAAGTAAAATACTGTATTCAACTGAAGCATTAATACTTCTTTATTCAAAATGTTCATCCTGACTGCTTCCTGCATCCAAAAAGGATTTGAGACTATACTGAGAACCTATATCTGCACCTCAGAATCTATCTTCTCCCTATATTTCTCATTTTCAGATCCTTCTGTATTATGAGAGAATACAGAATGCAGAGAGCTGGAGAGCATGAAGCACCCACTATTATGCTGATTCAGTGACAGCAGCAGAGTTGAGAGAAAGGACCCTGGTATCTGAATTCCCAATCCTCCATTCCTCTTCATTGAATTAAGAAGATCATTTATATACCCCTTATTCCATTAGTTAATCACTGTTCCTTTTCTCCTTTCCAGATTATAATTCATTCACTCATTCAATGGTATCAGTGCTTTTCCATAGAGGACTCTAAAAGACTAAGACTATCTTAAACCCAAGCAACATGTCTGTGCCTGGCACTATTGCTGGCTACTCATCAATATCTCTTCCTTACTCTTCCCCCTTCTTCCGTCCCAATAAAACTCTGATCTTGTTTAGGATTATCATAGACCCAAAAATTCTGGCAACACGGGGTGGCACTATGGTCCTCCAAAGCTGGCACAGCTCTATGCTTTCTGATCTTCTCTCTTCTACTTTCTTGCAATTTAAAGCTGATATCTGGAAGTGCAGCTTTACAATTGTGGGTTACAATCGTCTTGTAATCTTAATTGTCTTGTAAGCTAAATACTAAGGATGGTGGAAAGGACAGAAAAAGAACATGGGTCCTTGATGACATGTAAGACAAAGATGCCTCCTGCTTGTTTAATCCATGTAAGCCCATTTTCTATTTTTTACAGAAGAACATGTATACCTAATGTTATCATCTTAATCTAGAAGGGGGAGTCATTTAGGGGTATGGGAGGGCCCTCCCAAAGCTGCTCACACGTTGCCCATGCCATAGCAGGCCTTGGCTAAGACAGTCAGCCCAAGCCCACTATGTGCATCTCTCTCATACATATCACCTTTATATCGTTCAGGATATTATTTATGAGGAGTTTCAAGTCCTTCCACTCAGGAATAAGTCTGGGCGAGGATGACATCCTTGCGATATTCCAGCTCTTTACATCATGGATTAAATAACCTGTGGAAGGTAAATGACTTAATCATAACATATGATGTTATCTTAGAAATTAAAGGAATTGAGAGAGGGAAGAGCAATGGGGGAAGTTAGAGAACGGGAGAAGCAAAAGTACTCCTTAAGAAACAGGAGAAACTCACTTATTTCAAAAAAATGGGCATGAGAATGAACTACTGATACAACAACATGGATGAATCTTAAAAACATTATAGTGAGTAGAAGCCAGACATCAAAGAGGACATACGATATGATTCCATTTATATGACATTCTAGACAAGACTAATCTAACCTATAGGGACAGAGACCAGATCAGTGGTTACTTGGGGCCAAGAGTTGTGGGGATTGCCTGGGAAGGGGTAAAAGGGAACTTCTTGAAGTGGTAGAAATATTCTATATCTCAACTGTAGTAGTGGTTACATGGTTATATCAGTTACAGGGGCACATAAGTTTGTCAAAACTCATCAAAACATACACTTAAAATGGGTACAGTTTGTTACATGCAAATTATACTTAAATAAATTTAATTTTTAAAAGAGGATAAGAGTGAAGTGGGTGTTTTATGAAGTCTAGAAACAGAAAAAAAAAGTGACAAAAGAAAAACTGTTAAGTGAGCTTAGGTAAATCAGTTGTAGCATAAATAAAATAATACAGAAGCCTGGCTTTCCACTGTCCCTTGACTCTCTTCATTGGGATGCTCATTTTTGTACACACAATTTTGCAGACATAATTATAGCTATGCTTCTTCACTATTGAAGCCTTCATGTATCTGAAAGTCACTCACTTGTTCAACAAATGCTTACTTAGTGTTCATTATATGCCAATCTCTGTGCTAAGAGCTGGAGAGCTGAGGATAAAGCAGAACGAGAATGATTATCTGCCTGCATGAAATTTACTACACAATATGGAAAGCAGACATTGAACAAGCTAAAATAGATGTCTAGTTCTTGCGAGATGCCAGACTAAAATAACCCGAAAGCTGCCCACTACAAACTCCTAGAAATTCTGGATATAATAACAAGTAGCTAAGTTCCAGGAACCAGAAATGAAGAGGTGAGGAAAAAAAGAAACAGCAGCAAATGCAAACTGCTTCTGTGATAGTCCTGAGGAGGTATGGTTATCAGACCCCCAAACTGACCATAATTGCTAGGAGCTACGGTAGTACTGCCCTGGCAAAGAAAGGAGATAGGACTTGGGCCCATAAGAGATAGGGAGCTGGAATTGAGACCCCTCTGTTATCTTACAGAGAGATTCTTCCCTAGACAGAGCTGGCTCATGGCCAGCTTCCTGAAAGCTTACACACCTTCAAATATGTTTCCAGGCATGAGTCAGGAACCTACATATCTCCAAATTCCAGGGGATACTTATCGAGTTCTCCAAATGATTCTCTAACATGTACCTCATTTGTACTGACAAGGAAGAAACACAAGAGGAAAGAAGAAACACCACAGAGCATACCAACGATGCTCTCTAAGGAAATCATAATTTTAAATCTACACCTAAGATGATAATGAGCTAAGGGTCACACAAATCTCCCTCACAGGCTCTCAGTGCACCCTGAAGAGGTTATCTGATATTTACTGTTCACAGATGAAAGTCCTAGAATACCAAAAGGCACATTTGCATACTGTTATATGTGTATATTAATAATGCTAAGGAAACCACTAAAAAAGAAACAAATAGAATGCATGATTAAATCAGTTGAGGAAAGGAGATAAGAAATAAAGAAAATATAAATCAATCCAATAGAAGAAATATAAGATGAAACATAAGAAGGCAAAAAGAGGTATGATAAATAGAAAGAAGTAAGGTAATAGAAACAATATGTCATTTTGTAATAAATATACTGTTTCATAGATAAAAGACAAATACTCAGATTAGAGTTTTTAAAGGAATAAAGTTGCATTCTGTTAATGAGACAAATCTAAAATGTAAAATACAGAAACTTTAAAGTATCATTATTATCATGGCCTTCTGTTCCCGAAAATCATCTAAAAGCAATAAAGAGAATGAAAAGATCTTTGTAACTACAACTGCAGGAAACTGGGAAGCAGAAGCAGAGGAAGTAGAGCTGCTCAATTCCTTATAAAAGCCATAAACGTAATCAAAGACAAGATGAGCTTTAATGTTGTGAAAACCAACTAGCCTGAAACTCTACCTTGACCCCTTCAACACACCCAGGAGCCTCTTACAAAGAACTAGTCCAGGAAAACCCAATCCAACTAATGATGCGCAGGAAAAAGGAATTAGCACTGCCTTAATCCAAATCTACAAAAAAAAAAAAAAAAAAAAAAAAAAAAAAAAAAAAAAAAAAAAAAAAAAAAAAAAAAAAAAAAAAAAAAAAAAAAAAAAAAAAAAAAAAAAAAAAAAAAAAAAAAAAAAAAAAAAAAAAAAAAAAAAAGCTATGAAGAAAAGAGAAAAAAAAAGAATATATGAAGAGCATTCATTAGAAAACTGCTGCAATGGATCAGATAAAAAATTATAAATATTCTTCCTTGAACAACAACAAAAAATTTAATGATCTAATTGCCTCTAAGATGGAAGATCACAAAGTAAAAATGCAAGAACTCAGGAAAGAGATGGTAAAACAAGCAAGCAGGCAGAAATAGAAGAAAAATCAAATATCATAACTGTAAAGACAAAACTTGGAAAACACAAGGGAAAAAAACTCAGTAAGGAACATAGAGAATAAAAATGAGAAAAACAAAAGGAAACAGAAATAGAAAGAATTACTTAGAAAACAATATACAGTTTCAACAAATGGTACTGGGACAACTGAATATTCACATGTAAAATAATGAACTGCTATCTCACAATATATACAAAAATTGGCTCCAAATGGATCAACTACCTAAATGTGAGAACTAAACTCCAAATCTTTTAGAAGAAAACATTGGTATAAATCTTCCTGCTATTAGAATAGGCAATGGTTTCAGAGATATGACATCTAAACCACAAGCAACTGGGTTGGGGGGTGGACTTCATAAAAAAAACTTTTATGGATACATAAACAGAATGGATACATAAACTGGTACATCTAGACAATGGAATATTATTCGGGGCTAAAAAAAAAATGAGCTCTCAGGACACGAGAAAACATGGAAGAACCTTAGATGCTTATTACTGTGTGAAAGAAACTTTACTATCTGAAAAGGCTACCTGCTCTATGATTCCAACTATATGAGATTCTCAAAAAAGTAAAACTATGGAGACAATAAACAGATCACTGGTTATCAGGGTTGGGGAGAGAGATGAACAGACAGAACACAGAGGAATTTTAGGGCAGTAAAAATACTCTATATAATATTATAACAATGGACATATGTCATTATACATTTGTCCAAACTCATAGAATGTACAACACCAAGAGTGAACTGTAAGGTAAACTATGACCAGGGTCATTATGATGTCATACAATCAATGCATTACTCTGGTGAGTGAGGATACCGGGGGAGGCTAAGCATGTGTGGAGGCAGGTAATATACAGGAAATCTCTGTATCTTCTCTCAATTCTTTTATAAACCTACAATTGCTCTTAAAAAAAAAGTCTTAAAAAATAACATATCTTTACTGAAAAACTTATAGGTGAATGTTCACAGTAGCATTATTCATATTAGCCTAAAAAGAAATAATCTAAATGTCTACCGACTGATGAATAAACAAAATCTGGTACATACATATACAGTGGACTATTATTCAGCCACAAAAAGGAATAAAGTTGCTACATGAACCTTGAAATTATTATTCTAAGTGAATCAGATACTGGATAATTACACAAAAAACTGATTGCAATAAGTTTCAAATATGAAATTCTGAGTTGTGGGCTAATGAGTATTTGCTCTATTATTCTTTATACTTTCTACAACTTCTCTAAATTGAAATGTAAATGTCGAAGACAGTGCATAGTAAAGATATGTAACAACAGGACCTGATTCCAAAGCTCTGGAGAGGGAGATGTGTGTTTCATACATTGAGATGGGAACTTTCAGAGGACAGGCAGCTTTCCTAGAAAATCAATGTTTTGTTTTGTTTTGTTTTTTGTTTTGTTTTGTTTTCACAAGGAGCAACCCTTTACAAGGCAGATATATGTGATTAGAAGGACCAGATGAAAGTTCTACTTTATAACATGTATTTTGCTACCCATTGGGTATCCTAACATCAAAAGTAGTCACTGTCCGCAGGGAACTTCAATTGTTAAAAATTGGTAATTGCTGTAATGGGGCACCACAGAAGACTAGTGAGGAAATGCTGGCACTTAGCATGGGAAGATGCCAGGCAGATAAGGCTTCCTAAGGCATCCCAGGAGGAGAGTATGGCACAGACACCTAAAAGTATGATTTCTGCCAGAAACTACATATGAGTTAAATATTCTTACAGCACAAAGTTCAAGAGGGCAGTAGAAGAAAAATGGCTAGATCGGTGAGTCAATGTTAAGTGTCACACTAAAGAGTTCATTTCTCATCTTGAGTGTTAGAGAAACACAGGAGACTTTCAGCAGGAGAGTAATGTTAGATTAATCTTTTAGAATGTTCAGTCATCCAGCCTGGAGCTGCACTGAGGATCAGGCAAGGCAACCAGCAAGGAGGCTACTGCAATAGTGGAGATGAAAGACGACTCTATAATCTGATTTAGAGCAGTGGGAAAGGAAAAGTAAATGATGAGAGTAGTATAAAATACTTAAGAGCTAAGGGGAGCTAACATATACTAGGGGCCTACCACATGAAAAGTGTTAAAAAGGAATGAAGAACTGCTACATGCTACAACATGGATGAATCTTGAAAATATCATGCTAAGTGAAAGCATCCAGCCACTGGATAATTACACAAAAAACTAATTACAATGAATTTCGAATGTGAAATTCCAAGGTTGTGGGCACATGACTATTTGCTCTATTATTCTCAAGACTGTAGATTAATTGGATATGGAGAATTGGGAAAAGGGAAATCTAGAATGGTTCCTGTGTTT